GCAAAAGAATTTTATAGACAAATGCATCTGAGAATTGCTACCAATTGTTTAGTCAGTCCATTTGTGGAAATTAATAATCTATGGAAAATCAGGTAGCAAAATTATTAATAGGTAAATAAAGCAATATCTTTAATTCTGTATGACCAACATTTGTAAATTATCATTCCCTCCCTGGAGAATGCCAATGGGTATCTCTAAGAACATAGTATCTGTTGTGTGCAAAAGCAGACTGGAGGAGAGACAGTGTATCCTGGTGACCTGGGAACAAGGGGAGAAAGGTTGGAGTAAATAAAACAGACTGAGGAGAAGTTGGTATGTTTTGAGACTCTTTATAAAGCACATGTATTATGTTTTGTGATCCCACAATTAATAAAAGGTATAGGGTCTAAGAATGAGCATTTGTGGTGCACAGAATTTTGGTGACTAATATTGGATGCTCAGAAATTTGAGGCCAGCCTAAGACCCACAGAAATTCTGGACTGCACAAAGAGACTAAGTCTCAAAAGAGAAAAGAGGGGAAAGGGAAAAGGAGAAAGGAAGGAGAAAAAGCCATTTCTAGAAGTTTACACTTTTTGTTTGTCCTGGAACTTGCTCTGTAGAACTGGCTGGCTCCAAATTCACAGAGATCTGCCTGCTTCTGCTTCCCAGAGTGCTAGGATTAAGGAAAGGCATGACCTAGAACTGCCCAGCTAAGTTTACCTGAGACAGGAGAGAAGCCCTAGTCCCTACTTCACAGGACCTGTCAGATCTACATGACCCCAACTGGATGGCATTCCCCTACATATGGAATTGGGGTGGGGGGGGATGGGAGGGGAGGGTGGTTAGATTGCATGTGAGAGGGCAGAGAGGGTAAAAGGGAGTGAAGGAGGGAAGAAAGGAGGGAGGGAGGGAAGGAGGGAGAAGGAACTGGGATCGACATGTAAAATAATAAATTAAATAAAAAAATGTTTTGACTCCAAAATTTATGTTGAAGGACAAGTTACTGGGGAAAAGGATTTCTAGTTTTGTTTCCACAGAAAATGAAAAGCTATGGATTCCTTCCAGACTAATGTGGTTTGATCAAGCCAGACCGCCTGAAACAGAGTACCAGGTAATCCTACATTCAAAACAGCTGGACAAAGCAGCCTTGCAGACTACAGCCAGGATTTCTGCATCTTCTTAGAATCCCCCATGACAGCGCCCCTTACCAGCAGGAAGTAGTTTGGAAAGAATGATGCCCAAATTCCCAAATATTGTTTATAAATGTTTGTTTTCATTTAAATGGACTTGGTTATATAAAATATATATCATAATATAAAAAGCCAGCATGGTTCCTGGGCATGTCCTGCTTTCCATTCTGTTTATGTAATGATCAGAAGTCCCAAGAAGAAGAAAAATGCCTTAGCAGTTACCCAGTGGGTTTAGCTTTCGAGGTTGTAGAGCCTTAATGTTTAGAGTTCCAGAGACAAACTTGAGGCATTCAACAAGGCTTGGTGATTCAGATCCAGGCAAGCATGCATTTTCAGGGCAATTGCCTGGTAGTCTGCTATCCAAGGTGCTGAACTAAGTTCTGTAGCTGAGGGATGTCCTAGTTTTGTTTTTGTTGCTGTGATAAAAATACCCAATAAAAAGCACCTTAGGAGAGAACAGGCTTATTTTAGTTCACAATTCCAGGCCACAGTCCTTTTGTATTGGAAAATCAAGGTGGTAGGGGCTGCAAGCCATTAGTTACATCACATTCGCAGTCAAGAACACCTTAAAAGTAGGTATGCGCACATTTATTTGCTTGTGCTCAGCTCCATTTCCCCGCTCTCATACAGTTGAGGACTTCCTGTCTAGGGAATGGTGCCACTTACAGTGGGCAGTATCTTCTTTATTAGTCAAAATCAATAGACACAGCCACAGGCTAACTCAATGTAGACATTCCATCTGGATGACTCTAGACTATGTCAAGTTGATAAATCTATCCTGTGATGAGTTGATTTGTTGCCCTTTGTCCTTCTGTCTGAGTCAAACTCCACATTTTCACCAAAGAGCAGCCTTGCCTGAGATGGGGCAAGACACCTTCTGCTTAGTATTCTGGCTTCCTGCAGTGCCAGCTCTAGCTGTTCTGACTTTCAATCAAGAGCAGTCTGTTTCCTCGTTTGGGTTCTTGGAAGATTAACCATAAGATGCAAGCTCTCTGTTTCCAGAAGAGGTTAAAATATCCTGACAATAAGTATATATTTATTCCAGAGATAAAATTGACTGCACAAGGGAGCAGATAATTTCTATCTGTGAATGCCTCCTAAGGAGGATAAACCAATTCTCACAGATTCATTCCGCACACCCGGGTTTCAGGACCCAAGTTTCATCTTGGCAGGAAGCTTTTATTGGCCAACGACATATATTGAACTCAGCTGTCTGAGAGGCACAGTCTTCGTCTCAAGGAACTCAAGACACTGGAATACAGAAAATGTACATTCCCAAGTAATGTACAATGACCTATATCTGTAGGAAATAAGTGAAATGCAGTAACAACTCAAAAGAATTTGTAGCATTCTGTAGAAGTGAGGAGAAATAGTTATGGAAAGCTCCATGGAGAAAATGGAAGAAAGATTTGGCCTTGATCATCAGGAAGATTTCAAACACACAGAAAGAAAGATGGTGTGCCTGGTGTCATCATTGTGGGAGTGCAGTGTCCCTTGTGAATTTGAAAGATGGAAAATACCTAGTTTTCTGAGAGTCCCTTGCCTTGGTGTATTTCATTCTCTGCATCTATGTTTACATATAACACCACCAACCATGCACCCTTCCCCACAGTGATCGGAGTACTTTTCTCAAACAAAGGGAGACACCTTTTTCAAATACACTGTTATTTAAGGAGAGGACTTCAATAGCCTCCCCCAAGTACTTTCATGTTTATTTTAAAAAGAACTTCAAGGCAGAAGGGGGCTACTGAGCCTTTTAAATCCTCAAATCAGACCACTGACAATGTTAACAGCGACAGGGTGGTCAATGAAATAATGCTCCTCACCTTGAAACAAAACCAGCTGTGAGGCAAACATGGAGAACTGAAAAGTGACCTGGAAAGGTGGGGGAGAGGAAGAAGGGGAGAGGAAGAAGCTTCCAGAAAGCAAGAGGTTTGATGAGGAAACTAGAAGTCTGTACAGAGAAAATACTTCAAGGGGTTTCTAGGAATGGTTCACTAAAGAAACTCATTGTTAAATTCTGAGATGCAACTAGAATTTTACACAGAATAATTTCAAAGGACTGTCTGTGGCAGCATTCCACAGAACCCATATCCATGAATTACTGCATTTCCTGATATTTAGGAATGAAAAGGAGGCAAGGGCCACAGAGGGTAAAACAGTCTCTCCAGACTGGATATGACCAAGGAATGGCTCTCCACTCTGGAAACAGTGCCACGGTGCTCAAGCCTTCTATTTACTGTGTATGAGTCACCTCATGGGACAAAAGAGTGGGGCTTTTCAATGGTTTTCACCTGGGCATGGGATCAATGTCTCTAATGAATACACTTCCAATAAATTCACCAACATTATTTAGCTGTATTGATCTAAATAGGCACACATATACTTTACCTTCCCCCACTCCCAGTTCTCAGAACTTAAGTACAGACAGACACATGCACACTCATATACCCCCAAATCTCCTTTCTTGTTTAGCTTTTTTTTCAGCCTTTGCCCACTTATAACTTTACTACTTATTATTTTACAGGAAAGTGCTCATTCCCATTCCTTTCCTGCCCCAAAGCATCCTTAGTTGTCCGTCTTTCCACAGGCTGCAATGGAAGATCCCTCTTGGAGACCCAAATGCATTGAGCACACATAAAATAAGGTCTCTGGCTGCCTTCAGAAGCACAGATTAAAAGTGATGCTCTAGGAAAGCACCAGTGCTGAAGAGTTACAAGAGCCGTTTTATTGCTTCTGTTGTCTGAAAAAAACCAATTTACACAGAGGTTTTTTTTTTTTTTTTTTTTTTTTTGGTTTTTTTTTTCCCCACCAATTTTGCCAAACTGATGAAGTGCTACTGCATTTAAAAAGAATGAGAGAGCATTTATTAGAGTTTCTTAGCATCCTTGGGCAAGCCACTCTCCCACATCTCAAGGTGCCAGTCTTGGTTCTCCTCCTCTTCTCTTTCAATATAATGAAAGTTGTTGAAATATGTGTTAGACCAGTGATTCCAGAAGCAGGCCTTTGGGGAATTGCATGCCATGTTTGAAGAAACTATGGTGGGGGTGGGGAAGAAGAGCAGCTGGCATGATGTGATCTCCTCAGAGCAGGCTAAGCAGGCTTCTCTGTTGAACCACCCACCTTACCCCATGATTCATATAAAAGCATGGTTTTAAATTATGTATGTACCAAACTTTAATTTTCATTTCACACTCAAAAGTTATGTACAAAAAGAGGCAATGCAGGCAAAAAAAAAAAAATACAATGACTTCGGCAAACAACATATGACAGCTTCAAAGCCCCTTCTAATGTGCAACCATCCTTGCAGGTGTACTGTGACAATGGACTTAGTTCTGAAGGTTGGGGCTGGTGAAGACAAAATCCCAATGTTAGTTATTAATCTCTAGAACAGTTGAGAGATACCTACAATATAAGATTGAGTGAGAAGTCTGAATTCTACTGCACAACTGGAACCCTATATTGGGTAGGTTTCATCTTGCTCTTGAAGAAGCATGAAATAATTTTGACTTTAATTGTGATGATGTCTCGAAAACTTAGACATACCATTCATATTTGACATAATTGTGATAACTAAGATGTATGTTTATGTTGATGAGGAATCCATTAATTAAATATTAAAATACACCCAAGACCTTCTTCATGGCCTTTAGCTAACATTCTGGCTCTAATATTCTGGCTCTGTTTATCACAAATAAAAATATCCATCCTCACCAAGCTTTTGCTATGAATGCTTAGGTGAACATGAGAAGAGTTACCATGCCAAAAATAGTAACATGTTTGGGAAACATCATTTTTGTCTTCCTTCTTGCCTCAAATTAAATAGCTGAGTCATATAAAACACTTTATTTTAAAATTATGAGACATCGATTATGAAGTATTATTAACATTGACATTGACCCTAGTACTTTTCCCCAAACCACTTATGAGTGCTGGATACATCCGCATGCAGCACAAAGGGAAAAAAAAAAGGAATTAAAAACAAATTGTTCAAGGATTCCAGATGTCTACTGGACAGTCTGTTAAGAGAATTGGTCTCCCACAACAATTCAGGAGCAGACTCAGGGCCCACTCCCTGTTAGTGATCACAGACACAGATCAGCCTGTCCTTTTGGTGACCTGAGGCAACTATTCAGACCCTGGGCTTCTCAAAATTCAAGTCCTGTTGAGTCTCATCTTGGAGACAATGGACTGGCCAGACTGAAGCAGACTGACAGCACCCATACACACATTTGGTCCCGTTGAATAGAAAGTCTAACTAAAACTTACACATGTCCTCAACTCTGTGTGTGTGTTTGTGTGTGTGTAAAATCTGACAGACAATACCTAATGTTTTCTTATGTAGCCAGCTGAGAGGCAGCTATGGTGTAGATACGTGGCTTGGGTTCATGGCTCAGGTCTGTGTCTAAGAGCCCAAGAGAAATTGGGCAGTCCTTTCTTTTCTGAAATCTTAATCTCCTCTTTTGAGGAAAGAGCAAATGGACATATGCTCATTAGTAGTGTGCATCTCTGCCCTTGTAGGCTTGAGAGTTGCCCAACTGAGCATTGCCTATGGCTACCAAATAGCACACCCTAAAGTTGAACATTGGAGAATGTCTCACCCTATATGATCACACGATTTTGATTTCCTCTGGATTGTGGAATTCCTAGGTTTGACAAGGTCACAGAAGCCACCTACTGTGATTTTGTTGTGGTGAGAACACCCCCATCAGTCAAGTGACTGAACTTACTTATTCTTCTGATAAAGCGCCAAGGGAATAGGCTTTCACCTCTCCATCAACTACACTGACATACGGGCTGGGGAACCAGCTCTGCCATTTTGTCTGCTGACTACACTAACATAGAAAGCAGGGAACAAGTTCATCCATTTGTTTGTACTTCTTTGTTGAAATGAACCAAGTGTCCCCTTTTTTGGGGGACTCAGTGGAATGTTGGGTAGCCACTAGTCTGGAAGTGTTGGTATTTCACAGCTCCTCTCTTGGAATGTTGCAAACCAAACAATACCATACCCCTATCACCCTAGACCTGACTCCTGGGGTTATCATTCTTCAGCTGTCTGAAAAATTCTCTCCTTCCAGTGGACATATGCAAGTAATAACACAGATTAGCCTCAAACTTTCTATACATGGGTCCATACACTCCACAATATATATTCATAGGCCACATGGTAAAGAGGGAAGTATATAGATTCAGGTTTCCCAACACTCAGGATCTAGTCCTATGTAGAAGTCATCTTGTGTGTCCACATCTTTCCATTAGAGGCCAGGATATGTTTCCAAGACCCCACCCTAACTCAGCTCTGACCTATAGGCAGAATGACTGCAGGCCTGGTGATAGTAATAATCATAAGGATACTCACTGAAAATTATACGTAAAGGAAGGTTGTGGAGTGGATCCTACTAGCCTTCCAGGACTCTTAGCAACTATCTATTTTAGATTTTTAAAAAACTTCATTCATTTTATTTTATGTGTGTGTGTTTCCCTGCATGTATAGAAGTGCACTATGTGCATGTGTGGTATCCATAGAGGGTATTGGATGCCCTGGGACTTGAGTATTGGGTAGTTGTGAGCTACCTCATGGGCACTGGGAATTGAATCCAGATCCTCTGCAACAGCCACAAACACTCATTACCACTGAGCCATCTCTTCAGGCACAAGACTAGCTATTTTATACATGAGGAAGGTGAGGCTAAAAGTGAAATCTGCCAAAGTCTTCAAACCTGTGGAGGCTGACACTAGGAATCAAAATTCCTCCAGTTTTCTGGTAAATAACAAAGTGCCTTAGTTCTCAGTTCTGACATGAACAGTCCATTTTGATAGAGAAGAGGGGCTCACTTACCAAGAGGGGAGGTGTACCTAGAACTCTGCAGACTCCTGGGAAGTGAGTGGTCTTATTTACAACCAGAGTTCCATTTATCTGTCCCCACAGGCAAAGGGTTGACACAGATATGACTGTCCTTATGCCAAATACTCTTTAAGATAGCCACTTTTCCTCAATCCTCCTGCCAGAACCCCTCTATCTGTCCCATTGCCTCTTCATTAGTGAATTAAAACACAGGAATCTTCCTCTCGCAAAAATTAAAAGGGAATGAAAGGGACATAAGCTGAACCAGAAGGAGAATATTTGAATTAATAAAACACGTGTGCATGGAAAAGCTGCACGTGAAGTTTGCAGGCAGAAGGAAGGGGTGTGTGCTGAACTCAGAACACTTGTGCTCCACTCTCCATGTGCATTTTTTAAAATCTTGGGTTCTTCTTCTTCTCTCTCTCTCTCCCTCTCTCTCTCTCTCTCTCTCTCTCTCTCTCTCTCTCTCTCTCTGCAACAATGTATGTGTTTCTTGTATCTGAGCCAACACAGGAAATCAAGTACTTTGTGTTTCTATAAACTATACTCCCAGAGAGATAACATGCCTAGAGTTAGAACAATCCCACAAACTATTAAGAAGTTCGGATTGTTCCAGGTGTCATTGCAAGCTTCCAGCAGCCAGGATCGAAGCTTTCAAATTTGGCCCTCGGAGAAAGGATTCTCATGTCAGACATCAAAAGTAAGGCTCTCAAGTCAATTTATGCTCTGCTGGGTTGAGTCAGTCAGGATACGAATTAAGGTCCATATATTTCAGTGACAAGAAGGAAGTGGTTACGTAAATACACAAGTATTAACATCAATCTGTATTAAATTATGTAAACATATACATCTTCTGAGGTCAGCACACAGATCCTCTTCTGCGAGCAGGGCTCTCTACTGAAGCATCGCCCGAATCTGTTTGGAAGTCGATTCATCATTCAAGTGCTTTGTAGTGAACCTGAACGGGGAAACAGAGCAGGTGTCAAACAGAGCAGGTGTCAGGGCTCATCCAAGAGAAATGTGTAAACAAAAACCATAGCCTTGCTTCTTTATAGATAAAGAGTGAGCCATATTTTGGTGAGCCATATTTTGTTCATTCCATATATTCTCTGCAAGTGTTTAAATAATTTATTTAAACTTTATTTTATGTGCATTGGTGTCAGATACCCTGTAACTGGAATTACAGACGGTTGTGAGCTGCCATGTTGGTGCTGGGAATTGAACTCTGGTCATCTGGAAGAGCAGCTAGGGCTCCTAACTGCTGAGCCATCTTTCCAACCCTGAAAGTTTACTTTTGATTTGACTTTGATGTTGATTTGTTTTGTATTCCAGGTCAGCATTGCAGTCACTCTGTCATCCAGGTTGGTTTCACACTCACAGCAATCCTCCTGTCTCAGTCTCCCTATTGATGTGATTATAGGCACACCCCACAATGCCACGATTCTCAGGCACCTATGATATTTGTTTTTTCTTGTGTGGGGAGTATTAAATTAAGTCTCTCTCTTTTTTTTTAAACCTCATCAAATGATTATAAAGAGGAGACATAACTTATCTCATTTTCTTTCTTTCTTTCTTTTTTTTTTTTTTTCAGTGTGCATATCCTCACTTTAGGGAGAGCCAAAAACAGTTAAGATGGAATGGGGGAATGCGCACATGCATGTGTACATGTGTGCATGTGTGTGTGTGTGTGTGTGTGTGTGTGTTTGTGCATGTGTGTGAGCATGTGTTACGTCAGCTTCATGACCTTCTTAAATTTACTTAACAATGATCTCATTTTCAGGGAGATAAATTTCACAGCACTTAGTTCAACATCTTGTCCATTGAGGCTAACCCTGCTGAGTTACAAACTTCAAATTTAGGAACCCTAAAATTTAAATGTTGATGACTGTCTACTGCAGGGGCCGTAGTTATCCCCTTTGCCACCACCAGGAGGCACAAATGCAGTCACATAACCAGTGCTGTAATAAGAAGCATCCCCTGACTCAGTCTTATGTGCAAAGGATTGTAAAAGATTGACCTGTAACAAAACTTTGACCACATCTTAGGCACTCTGGGTCACAACTTTTCAAATGTGGTAAATGACTCAATTTCACAGGTGAGAAAGCTGGGGGTCAAAGAGCTTCAGTGGCCCCGACCTCAATCACAAAGAAGATGGTTTTGACTCCTGAACGATTGTGACTTTTTCCTGGAGCCTAGGTCTGGCTGTCTTGAAAGCCCACATTCTTCCCATCTTGTCATTTCTCTGCAGGAAACACAAATTCCCATACTGCAATGGGACTCAATGCCCTGATCTCCAACATGTTTTGGCAGCTAGAATGAAGCTAGAAAGTTCCAGAAATTCAGAGGTTGAAGTCTTCTTAATGAATATAGGAAGCCAGCCTTGTGTGCTTACAATCTTCCTTGGGGAAAACCCAGGATTCAGGGCCTGGAGCCTAGGACTGGCTGTCTTGAAAGCCCACATTCTTCCCATCTTGTCATTTCTCTGCAGGAAACACAAATTCCCATACTGCAATGGGACTCAATGCCCTGATCTCCAACATGTTTTGGCAGCTAGAATGAAGCTAGAAAGTTCCAGAAATTCAGAGGTTGAAGTCTTCTTAATGAATATAGGAAGCCAGCCTTGTGTGCTTACAATCTGCCTTGGGGAAAACCCAGGATTCAGGAGGCTCTTATGGTTGTGACTCACTTATTTTCTAAAGATGATGAGGTGGCAACTGAGAAAAACAGCAACTTTAGTGTCTTGAGACTGCTGACTTCTTAATCTATTGAAGGAGAATAGAGCAGTCTTGGGTCGATGGATTGTGATGGTTGCCCTTGACAATGTGACTGGAGGGAGAGTACTGCATGCAGAAATGGGCACTGCCTCATTTCTTTTAGACTCACCCATGCTTACTGTATGTATTCCATTGCACGGGACTGAAGGAAATGAAAGGCTAAGACAACAAGGTCCTTAAGTCTTCCCAATTGGAGTTCTTTATTGGGATGGTTTATGTGCTTCAGCAAATTCATTTGGATGCAGTACAGCTAAGATAACAATCTCCTCCCTGCAGTGGACTAAGCAAATGTATCCTTGGGAAAAGAGGCGATGCCTATAGGGTGGGGACACACTACAGCTGGCTAAATATTCAGGCATCCAGCAGTGAATAACAGGTCCTCAGAGTTGTGACAGCTGCATGTGCGAGCCTCTTGGGGGAGTTTGGACCAAGAAAACAAAAATGAACAAACAAGCAAACACAAAAGGGATGCTTGAACTTCCAGGTCAGTGATTTAGTTTACTTGGATTGCAACCTCAGACCTGAAAACTCCCCTCATCTTCCTACTATGCAGCCATGGTAAGGAGCCCTTGGTAAATATACAGATGAACACCGGAGGCTTTCCTTCTCTGGACTCCACTATTCACAGAGCACCACTGCCAAGAGTCAGGCCCAATACCCATGGGGCCACCCAAACCACAAATAAGTCCTATCTTGGCTCTTTACTGTGTGACATGGAAAATTTATTTGACTTCACATAGCCAGGTATGGTGGCTCATGCCTTTAATCCCAGCATTCTGGAGGCAGAAACAGGTGGATTCCCAAGTTCAAGGCTAGTCAAGACTATAAAGCAAGTTCCAGCACAGCCAGGACTACACAGATAAATCCTGTCTCACAACCCAAAAACTTAACTTACCTCAATTTCTCCCATCAGTTCAAAGTGAATGGTAAACATGGTGCTGCCCTCCCAGCATTGCTAGGAAGATGAATGATATGACAAGGCAAGTTCTAAGACCAATGCTCAGGCTTTTAGCCCCCAATAGTGTCCAAATTTGCAATGGTCGGAAAGGGAAGCTGCACCGTCAACCCACCCTAGAGACAGGCTCACCTGAGAGCATTCAGCAGCCCTTCCACACTATCAGGGGCCTGTTCCTTCAACACCTTTATACAACCTTTCATCTGGAAGAAGAAAGTGCAGCATTTTGTTAATATTCTGGCAATCCTGTCCATAGTGGCATCTGTCCATACTACCTACCAACTTTCTGTAGCAGTTGCCCGGGGAAATCATGAATAAACTTTTCTACCTTCTTAGAATGTTACATCCTTCCATGTACCATCAAGAGGTTCTGTATGACTGCATGCTTCTAATCTCTACTGATTTTCATCCTATACCACAACTGTCCACTTGACTTGTTTTGGGATCAATATCTTGCCTTCTACTCTGGAGCCTAGACCAGGAACAGATTGCTCTACTTGGCACCCAGTTGAGATTGTTTTATACACTCTGTAATTTAATGGTTTGTCTGCTGTAGTAAGAATGTTTCTTCTCTTTTAGCTGTTGACTGGCACACCCTTAATATTTTGTGAAGCCTTAAGTTCACTGGCCCCAAGAAATGTGTGTGTGTGTGTGTGTGTGTGTGTGTGTGTGTGTGTGTGTGTGTGTGTGTTTGCATACATGTAGAGGACCCAGGACAAGTTCAGTTGCCTTTCCTCAGGTATCCACCTAATTTTTGAGGCAGGGCCTCTTCATCCTGAAGCTTGCTAAATAGGCTAGGCTAGCTGAAAAGAATGCCCTGGAGATATGCTCATCTCCACTCCCCCAAGGCTGGAGATGTGAACATATCAACCACATATGCCATTCTTTTTTAAAAAAATGGATTCTTGAGATGAATTTATTCCTAGTGCTTTCAAAGTAAACACTATGCAGACTGAGATATCACCGTGGCTCCAGGAAGGCTCTTTTCATCTCATTATCCATACCTCAGACAGTCACTACCACGTATGTATTTGTGACCCCAATACAACTTTGTATTTATTAGGTAACTCTGGATCAACTAGCCCCTCTTCAAGTCAAGAGTTTTTGTCCCTCATTAGGCCAGTGACTCCTAGTAGTGCATGTCTGGTCTTAACCATATTTGAGAAGACTGGTAAAGGGCAATTGTAAAGAATGTAAACCTAACAAAGGTCAAATGCCTAGGTTTTATCCATGCTGCTTTGTATTTGCATGAACTTACATAGTTTCCTAAGTTTTCTGAGGCCTTGGAATTAAAGTAATCTAATTCTGTCATGAAAATTAAAATTTACATAGATCATGTTATTTTATGCATATCCTTGAGTGTTCTACTTATCCTTTGGAAAAGCAAAATCTTTCTATAAAAAGCCAACCACTTCTTTTAATCTTAGACATTCATGCAGTATATGTGCATTTGACGAGTTTCATTATACCAATGGCTACTTGCAGAGTGGTAACCTCTCAACATTTCTTGTCAAACTTCAAATATGCCAAAGTTTTACAGTAACAGCTTGACAGACCCTGACAATTGCTGAAGGTAGCCAAGACCCAAGACTGAGAAGCATTTGGAGGTCACACAAGAAAGAATGTCAATGGTCAAATATACATGTCTATCAAAGATACAGGTTTGGAGAGAGGCTACAAGTATGCCAGTTATGTGCCACTCCAGGTTTGTGATGGCATCAGGCCCACAGATGCAGAGAATGTTGTCCTTTTCCCATTAGAGATGGGGTCTAGTGGGAGGATAGGGACAGAGCTCAAGATGAAGGTGTGAGAAGTGTTTGTGTGATGACTTCCCGAGGGGCAGTGAGAGCATAGATGCAGAAGGAGGTGGGTACTCTTGAGGAGTTTCCAGTTCTATTTCAGGATGATTAAAACCGTGGGTGTGAATAACACGAAACTGTCAGAAACACATCCAGGGCCAGAGCGGGATTAACAACACAGTCAGAGCTCGGAGGCTTTTCCTTGTAGAAAATTCCCTTGGCAGGTGTTAAGCATCGTATAAATATAGTGAGTATAGAAAAGGACCAGAAGGAGGCAAAAACAGAAAGAGGAGAATGAGTGAAAAATCTTAGGATGTGAGGGGTAGGTGTGGCAGTGAGCTGCAACACAGGGGGTGATGGACGCTTGATCCCTGATAACCGATGAGGAAGAGGGACAGAAACAATTCCGAGGGTCTGAGGGATGACAACTCTGAGCTTCTTCTAGTGCAGATACTGGATGAGAGGATGGGACCATATCTAAAGTAGGGTTCATGGGGGAAGGAGAACCTTTGGTTGGGGACTGGCCATGCTTCATGTATCCATAACAAGATGGGTGAAGTCTTGGCTGGGGACAGGGGTTAAGGTGTGATTATTTATGGAAATCACTTGAGAACACCAGTTCATCCCCACATATCTTTCCTGACACCAAGATTGCCCCCTGGTCTCTAAAAGTTTCATCTTCCCCAAGTCTTGGTGATTTTTCTCTGACTCTTCCCTCTATCCATCTAAAACAATCCTTGATGGACTAGCATCCCAGCACTCCAGCTATGTGTGGGAAGCTGGATGTCTCCTCCTAACCACGTGAGAAAGAGTGGACTGCTTGTTCGGAAGAAATTTGCTATGCATCTCTAGGATATAAATCTCGGAGAGGGATGGAGGCCAGAAGAAGAGGTACAATGTCTAGCCAATGGCATTCATGGGACAGTGCACTGTGTGAGAATGCTTACATCAATCTTGGATGTCTTGCAGAAGGCTCCCACAGGGTGCACGTGATCATAGAGGATGATGACACCCACCATCACCCTCATGCAGAACATGAGCGTCTCCTCACTTGTGAACCTGCTCCTGTACTCCCTGAAAGAGAAGACACAGCTATGACATAACTTCCTTCTCCAAACATGTGCATTCTGGGATCTGCAACTGGCAGTGGATGAGTTCTCTGATGGGGAGGGGTGGGGAGTAGAGGAGGGACCTGCAACAACCAGGTTAATACACTCTTGAAAAGACCCAAGATGATCATTTTCCTTGAGTCTATCCAACTAGCAATTCAGTGCAAAACTACAGTAAATGAGAGGGCGGTAAATTCCCTTTTCTGCTTCCCCTCAGCAGCTAGCTCACCGTGTACATCAACTCCTGCCCATCAATCTTGAATATTTTATAGCTGGCCCCTCTGGCTGTCCGAGATTATAGAGAATAATGGCTTCATTACAGAGAAAAAGAATCAGGCTCATTTCGACACAGTGGCTCTCTTTTCTCCAGCTGGAGTTGGCTCCTTTGTTAAGATACCTGCTGTGGATGAACTTGGAGTGGCAGATATTGCAAAGAAATTATGTACCTGGGAGTTATTTGTGGAGGTTAAATTTTGCTCACTTACCTTGATAGGGGCTCTGATGATTGCAATAATTTGGGCCAACGCTAGAGACATTTTTAGCATCAATTTCATTACGAGTTGGCCCCACAATGCAGACAAATACTATTTCTGTCTTGAAATAAATCTTAACTTTGATATGAAGGAAGGAATTAAAATTAATACCCTTTTTTGTGGGCAAGAGAGATGGCTTGCTGGGTAAAGCACTTGCTGCACAAGGGAGAGGAACTGAGTTTGGATCCCTAGTGCCCATATATATGCCAGGTGGCTGAGCTGGCCAGTTTTATGTCAACTTGACAGAAGCTAGACTCACTGGAGAAGAGAAAGCCTCAATTGAGAAAATGCCTCCATGAGATCTGGCTGAGGGAAAGCCTGGAGGGCATTTTCTTAATTAGTGAGTGATGAGGAAGAGGCCAGCCCATTGTGGGTGATGCCTCCTGGGCTGGTGGTTCTGGGTTCTGTAAGAAAGCAGGCTGAGCCCCTTACCAGCAGGAAGTAGTTTGGAAAGAACGACGCCCAAATTCCCAAATATTGTGTATAAATGTTTGTTTTCATTTAATTGGACTTTGTTATATAAAATTAAATAAAAAAAAAAAGCAGGCTGAGCAAGACATGAGTAGCAAGCCAGTAAGCAGCATTCCTCCATGGCCTCTGCATCAGTGTCTGCCTCCAGATTCCTGCCCTGCTTGAGTTCCTGTCCTGACTTCCTTCAGTGATAAACTATAATGAGGAAGTATGAGACAAATAAAGCCTTTCCTCCCCAACTAACTTCTGGTCATGGTGTTTCATTGCTGCAATAGTGACCACCCTAACACCTGCCCACCTGCAATCCCAGCTCTAGGGAGGTAGCTACAGGGCATGCCTGAAGCAAGCTGACTACCCAGCCTAGTTTTATTAGCAAAATATGGATTCAAGTGACAGACCCTACCTCAATACACATGTCAGACAGCAATCAAGGAAGATACCCAAAGTCATCCTCTGGTTTACATGTGCACGCACGCGTGTGCACACACACACACACACACACACACACACACACACACACACACACTCACAGAAGCATGTATATGCACACACACACGTATATGCATCTGCAAATATAGGTATACCCTCACATGCATGTGAATATGAATACACACACACACACACACATACACACACTTGAACACCACACACGTACATACATGCAAACATATAAAAGGATAAAAAAAATTTATATTTGAAGACAGTCATTTGCTATAAGGTGCATGTGACTCTTTTGGGCTCCCAAACACCCTACAGAGCAGTTGGCACTGTGGAAACTTTACTAGAAACAGAATACAAGGAAGGTCCAAAGAAGCAAGGTACTTCATTCATGGTCACAGTGAACAGTACAGACTAAGTGCATCCCCAACCTTCCTCTGTAATTGTGTCCTTCACCCTTAGTTATCCCAACCATTCTTCACATTTATATTCAGTAACTAGTTTAGGCACAATGAAACAGAAGGGGAATAGAGGTGTGTGTTGGGGGGGGTTACTTGTATAGTAGTCTTAGCATTGCTACTCTTGGTTCTAAATCTCTCAAATCTCTACAGTATATTGATAAAAATACCCACACATCTAGCCCATTTCTCCATTTCTTTGCATGGCTTATACCAGTGATCCTCAACCTGTGGGCCTCGACCCCTCTAGAGGTCACAAAAATCCTTTCATAGGGATCACATATCAGATATCCTGCATATCAGATAGTTACATCACAGTTCACAACTGTAGCAAAATTGAAACGATGAAGTAGCAATGAAAATAAAATTTTATGGTGGGGGGGCAACTGTATTAAAGGGTGGCAGCATTAGGAAGGTTAAGAACCATTTTCTTATATCATCTGATAAGCTGTAAAATTCATCAATCAACCCATCAGGGAGGGCCTCAGCTATCAGTTGTGAAATGGATATAACAGACCACCCTGAGTTCCTATGACTGAAGCAAATTCTCTGCGTAGAAATGTGAATATGGCATCAAAAAGAGGACATGTCGCTATCCTATCACTATCAACACATATGAACAGGTCCTAGTGGGACAGAAGCTTAGCCACGCCCAAACCTCTGGTGTCACTTACGGTGTCTCCAGCATAACTTTGCACACACTTGTCATCGTACTGAGGCAGTCTGTGGTGTTCTCTATCGGCAGGGTTTTATTCTAGGTGGAGAGATACAGACACACATTAGCCTTCCTAGCTGCTCAGTGAAGAAAGGGGTGTTCTGTGCCCACTCAACTAACTGCACTTACTTCTGAGACAAAGTGCATCGTGGCATTGCTAAGGGTCTTCAGCATTGGTGTCGCTTCTGCGTAGAAGAGGGACATTCGATTGGCCATCTCGTTATTCACTTCATTCTCAATGTCTAGCTGATGAAAACAAGAGAAGAAACAGTTATAAAGAGGAAGCCATTGTCTCCACAACCAAGTCCCAGACAAGGACTGTGCCTTCTCTCTGGGCCCTGCCTGATGCAGAAGTCAAGGCAGCCATGGCCCCAGCCAGGGACTCACATGCATATTGTTGATGCGGTTGCGACTTATTGTTCTTCTGTAGTAGCTAAAGTCATTCTGAATGGCTGGGTTCCTCATCTGAAATTCAGGAGAGAAGGACGAGGGTCACCTTCCAGAAACAGGTGAAGGGTCAACATCAGGAGCCCAGGCAAGAGTGTTTGCAAATATGGCAGGACTTCTCTTTGGCATTCAAGACCCATAGCAACCATTAAAAATAAGAGCCTATATCTTCAGTGTCCTGAAATATGGCCTGCTCTTACTGTGGGCTATATTTCCAGGAAAGCACATTCACCCAGTGAGGAAAAGACATCTGTATGGGCTTTTTTCCTGCACTCACTTGACAGATTTTGAAATTCCACAGGTACATCATCCTCTATGATTACTCTGATCACATGGAATGCAAATATTCACCATGTTACGAGCCTCCGTGAGGCAGGTACTCCATCTTACTCTCCCACCCGGACCCTACAGCCTGAGCAGAAGAGCCATAGAGTTGTGCTACCTAGCTCAGCTTCCACAAAATGTGTGGCCTGACCTTCAGCTCATCGAATCGAAGGGTAAAATGTAAGATTTCTGCAAATTCCTTTGCCAGGGCCTGCTCCCGCTCCAGGTGTTGGGTTGGTGTGTAGGGAGGACACGTCAGAGATTCCAGTAAACTCTGAAGAGCTTTTTCTGAAAGTCAAGGGAAGACAGAGATATATTCAGGGGGACCAGTGTTTGGTTCAAGTTGACATTCTCAGAGGCAGCCAGTGTGGCTATTCCCTTTTTAGTGCTTACTAAGCCCAGTTCGCTTAGTAGTCTCACTTTCTGAGTCTTGTAGAAAACTACAAATAATTGGGTGGAGCTTGTGTGCTTAAGAGCCACTAATGATTCAAGGTGAGATGAGTGGGAGATGAGAATTCTCCAGTCAATAAAATGTCCGCTGTGCAAACACGAGGACTTAATTTATACCTATAGCACCCACATAAATTCCTAGCTTTGAAGGTGGCCCTGGGGACAGAGATGGAGTAGTCAGGGCTCTCTGGGGCTGGGCAGTTTAGCAAGTCAGCGAACAACAGAAACAGACATCAGTGTCAGTCTCTGGTCCCTGCACACATATCCAAGAGCCCTGAACACATGGGTTAAGTCACCCATTTAACACTGAAAATTCTAGCTTCTTCCAGCATGCTCCTCTGTTTCTACATCCCCATGATATTTCTCCACAAATCTACCACATTTGCCTTAGTTATTGTTCTTACAATAACCTCATCATGGCTCCCATTTGCCTATTTCTAATCATTCCCCCACTCTTTTTACTTCCATATATCTTTTAACAGCAAAGTTATTTATGCAATCCTCTGTGGTAGGAGTTGATAAACTGTGACCCATGAGCCAAATCTGTCCCAATACTTGTTTTTATAGATAAAGTTTTATTTAAAAGTTAGATATGTTCATCACTTCCTGTTGGCTACTGTTGGTGTTGGCACTACAATGGTAAAGTCTAGTTACTGAAAAGGCAGGACAGCTCACTCTTGTGAGCAAATTTTTTCTCTCTCTGCTGAGGTAGAACTCTGGTCCTTGGAATTTCAGCTCACTACATCCAGATGTACACTGAGAAAACAATTCAATTTCTCTTCTGCCTGAGAATGTGAGGCTTGTGGAGGCTTGCTTGTGGAATCAGTTTGTGCCACCCTCAAGTTCTTCTCAATAATACAGTCATGGGTTCAATTTCGGGTTTTCTCTTAAAATATGGCACTTGTTTTAGTGGCAAATTAAAGCAGAAGCTGCTGACTACCTTTTCCATTCTAAAGATACTTTACTAACAATGAACACTCAAGCACTGGCAGTGATTACACCACGGTGCTGGTGGCATGCAGCCAGTTTGTCGGCTTCATTTGCCTCCACTCCAGTTTCTGCAGACACATGCTGTTCCTGTGCAGCTTTATTTTTGCTTTTAAAGATAAAGTAAGAACACTAGCTTTATTTTCTTACATTTTGTATTCAGCTAATCATGCTTTGTGGGGGGGCAGTGAGGAGATTGCAGCTTCAGATAAACTCTATCCTCCAACTTTTTTGTTTGTTTTTATTAATAACGGAGATCAATAGTTCAGAGCCTAGCCCAATTGTGTCAGAGAGTCTTCATCCAGCAACTGATGGGAGCAAATGCAGAGAGAACTGAGATCAATAGATCGGAGCCTAGCCTGATTGTCATCAGAGAGGCTTCATCCAGCGACCGAGGGGAGCTGATCAGAGGCCAATAGCCAGACATTAGGCAAAGCTCAGGGAACCCCATGGAAGAGGGACTGGAAAGATTACGGGTGCCAGAGGAGGAGAGAATACCATAAGAACACAGTCCACAAAAGGAAGGTAGACCAACTGACCAATGGAAGGAAGGAAGGAGGGAAGGAAGGAGGGAAGGAGGGAAGGAAGGAGGGAAGGAAGGACCACAACCTGGACTTCAGTGATGACTCAGCAGTTAAGAACACTTGCTACTCTTATACAGGATCAGAGTTTGGTTCCCAGAACCGTCATGGCAGCTCATGACCATCTGTAGCTCCAGTTTCAAGGAATCTGACACTCTCTTCTGGCTCCTGAAATTCTTCTATGCCACAGTGCCCCTAAACTCACATAGGCACACATACATAACAACAACAACAAAAAAATCTCAAAGAAATGACATCAGAAGGCTCTGAAAAGACGAACACAGTGACAAAGTGTCAAGACACCGTAAACCAGTAGAGACCCTGCAGGTGTCAATCAATGCTTTTAGAGAAAAAGGCATGTGGTGGATCAAAACACACAAGAGTGATGAAGTTGCTTGTGAATGGCCTCACAATGCAAGTGGGGGTCATTTTCCAACATGTAAAGCTGTTTCCTCTACCCTCTCAAAGGGCAAAATAACAACAACAACAGTAATAATAACAATAGAAGTGCTGTGTGGGACAGGATAACTTTAGTATTCACTCACCAAGCCTGATGGAAAATTCATAAAACCGCTTCAGCCTCACGACCAGGGGGCAGACTGCATTCCAAGCCTTTTCTTGAAGTTGAATGTCATTGGGATTTTGAATTGCCTGTAGAAGAAAAAGGGGGTGACAATGAGTTTCCAGTTTAAGAAAACCAGTTATCTCACACCAAAGTAGCCTGAATGAATTTAGTTTTTAAAAAGATGCAATCCCTAGTGTGATTGGAGAATTAGAACCACCTTGGTTGATGATGATTATCTGAATGAATGATTCCCCAAAGGACTCATTTCTGAAGGCAGTTTCAACACTTGAGTATAAAGCTAATGGGTCCCAGGTAGACCTTGCCTCATCTCACCTGCTGCTGTGTTCTTGAGTTAAAAACAAAACATGGGAATTGGAAGACTTGGCTGTCCATTAGCACCTGATTCATCTAAAAACTGCTCATTATGAAGAATGGAGGCTGTAGCTGTTGTGTCTTTTCTGTGATACACAGTTTGTAATAAGTTTTATACTTAAGGTGAGGTGACCTTGATGTAGAAATGTCACATCTTAATAAACTTTTCCTCAGTAGCCTCCTGACAGTGGTAAGTTCTCATGAGGACAGTGGCAGATGCAGAGTAATTTTCATGTGTGTGTGTGTGTGTGTGTGTGTGTGTGTGTGTGTGTGTGTGTGTGTTCCTAAACACATAAACACACCTTCTCAGTCCATATACTGTCACTCTTAACCAATGAAATGCTCCTTCTTGAAGAAGACTTTCTCCCACTCAGTATTACTAAGTTTTGGCTATTGATTTGTCTTACTTTTTTTTAACCTCAGAAGACATAAACAAAATAGATCTACACTCCCCTTAGAGTAGGTGTTTTCTGGTTGTCATGTGTGACACTTCTGGAACCTACCATGGTAATCACAAAAGTATAATTGTACGTGTTACCGTAGATCTCCTGACTCAGAGATTCAACTTCTATGTTTGTATGTAAAGTTTTTCCTTCTCCTTGAAGGGTTTAGTCAATTCAGTATTGTCACTGACTTACATCTCGGATCTCTGGTCCTGCACCTTTGTAAGCCTGCAGGTCTGTGAGGATGCTCTCAGAATCTTGGAGGACTGCACTGATCTGGTTCCATATCTCTCGTTCTCCTTCCGTCGGCTGGGCATCTAAGTGGCACAGAAACCAAGAGAAACTGAGGCTGGTGCGTCCCAACAGCTCTCCAAGTCCATAAACAGTCATTCCCACCAGCTGAGCAACTCCATGTCTTCCTCCAGCTTTGGAAGTTACTCTGTAACTTTACAAGCTGTTAGGTAAGGAAGATGAACACAGCTTCTGCCTGTGACTTTGTTCGAAGCACCCAGCAGCATTTTGTACATGTTAAACCTAGTATGATCAAATTGGCCTAAGTGTTTATTTGTTAATTTATTTATATAAAAAAGCATTTTTGTATACCTTATGTGCACTGGGTAATATCACATTGGATAACAGGATGGGTAAACACTGTTTTCTGCGGGGGGGGGGGGGGAAGCCAACTTCTTTTTAAAGACTCTTTAATTGTATTTCTTCTTCCTTAAAGGTATCACTTTCATTGTGGTCAAAATATACAACATAAAACGTACCACACTGGCCATTTTCCAGTGTGGAGAGCCCTGATACAGTTATGAGTCCTCCCCTCCATGCAGCTCCATAACTCTCTTGATCTTGTAAAGCCAAAACACTGTATAGATATTTTTTAAAATAGACTACAAGCTATTTCCGTCACTGAAGAACTATAGATTTGAGTATACATATATCTTTTATTTTATATATTTACACTATTTCATATATGTCCATAGTATCATATATATTTGTATCACTAATTTACTTTAAAGTACACTTAGTTTGAGACTGGTGAAGCAGGTGAAGGCACTTGCTGCCAAGACTAAGCACCGGAGTTTGATGCACAGGACCCGCCTAGTGGAAGAAGAGTCCTGAAAGTTGTCCTCTGACCTCTGCATGTGTCATGGCACACCCTCTGCCTGATACATGAATGTAATAAAAAAATAGACAGGTAATTAACCCATGAGGGCATGGTAGCAGCGCTTTATTCCAGAACCGTGATTTACATATAGAAAGCACTGAAACATCCCCCAAAACACATAAACACCCCTGTCTAAGACCCAAGAAACGGGTAGAGTCTTCTGGGAATTCATCAGGGCATGGAAACACTCCTAGAGAAGAAAGTCCATGAGAGTGGGAGGGGCTCGTCTGGAAGAAGATAGTGGTCAGCAGGGGTAGGACATGTGCAGAAAATTTTCTCGGCAAAGACACACAGGGAGTTTATTGTAAAAATGTCTGTTCTGGTTATCCTCGGTCTTCACGGTGTTAGCCACAGAAGTGTGTGATGTGTTAAGTTCACATATATGAAGGCAGCATTCTGATAGCCACAAAGTGTTGCAAAGCTCTCCAGGAAGTTCTTACTCTCTGGCATCACTGGAATCCTTGCAGGTTTTTACCCCCAGAAGCATTTCATGAAGACTGATAGTTGAAAACCATGGGCTTTCGCTACCCTCACAATTGCTATGAATCAATCAGGCTGGTTTCTTCCTGTAAAATGATGCCACTGCTCAGAGAGAGAGGGACAGACAACGTGTCAGTGTCATGTAACTTTGTTTCCAAATATGTAAATCCTGAGATGAAGGATGCTATCAGTGACTTAACTAACAGAGCAACAAGGACAGAGTCACATGAAGTCTGACACTCCCCTGACCCAAGTCCAATTTTATCTAATCTTTCCACAATACAAAGGCAGATGCTCCAAAAATGTGACATGTTTTCATCAGCAATGAGACTCTGGGGTGTTATAGATGGATTCATAAGACAGGTAAAGCAAGAGCTAGCTGAGTGCATTAGCAGACTGGGCAGTGAGGGAGAGACAATGGCCAGAGAAGGCCAGAGAAGCTCCTGTCAAACTCCCAAGTGATGCCCACAGGGAATTTTGGACTAGTTTATAAACCTGGTCCTGCTAAATACAAAGAAATTGGTAGTTCCCAAGGAAATTAACAAAAGAAAAAATTCATAATGTAGGAGGTGCTACTTGGGAAGAAAGGGATGGGAGTGGGAGAAGAATAAAAAAGGGTAACGGATGGGCTGGAGAGATGAGTCAGAGGTTAAGAGCACTGACTGCTCTTCCAGAGGTCCTGAGTTCAATTCCCAGCAAACACATGGTGATCTGTAATGGGATCTGGTGTCCTCTTCTGACATGCAGGCAGCACGCTCTATTACATAATAAATAAATCTTTTAAAAAAGGAAAGGGTAATAGAGGTGAATATGATCATATCCACTATGTACATGTGACACTGACAAATTAAAGAGAGGAAATACCTAAAATTAAGACAGAAACTTATAGACCTTCATGGAGTTTCCAGACACAGGGAAATAAACGCTTTCTAGAAATAATACAATGTCATACAGGGGATACGCCAGTCAAAGGTTCATGCAGGTCAGGGTTAGGAAATTAATATGGTTTGGAAGGTGTTGGAGAAGTCAGGTGTAGAGAATGTATTGGAATGGTATTGGAGGTGGGACACAGAATGAGGTATATCCACAAAAAGAGAACAGTGTGACCAAGGGCAAGGTGGCTAGATGGAGGATAGCTGGACCAGCAGGAAAAAGATGTTTGGAGAGGGATCAGAGGCTGACCTGGGGAAATGAAGGGGAAAGATAGCCGATTCCTCCTCTAGCCCTGAATCCTTTGCTTCCCATAGACACTGGCTAAATATTATCAGGTCTGAGGTGTCTCACAATATGTCATCCCTTTTTTTTTTCTCAAAGCAATATGTATGTCATAAAAAGAAGCCTGCATATCCCTGAGCTAGGAAGCCAGTCATTGCAGACAGCACTTCAGTGACAATCCAAGGGAGGGACTGGGAGTTTCAGAATTGCAAAGCAAATAAAAATGGGGTACTCAGGAACTGGAGAGATGCCTCAGTGGTTAAGAGCAATGGCTGCTTTTCCAGAGGACTTGGGTTCACATCTCAGCACCCACACAGTGGCTAATTATCATCTGTAACTCCAGTACCAAGGGATCTAATGCCCTCCTCTGCTTTCCTGAGGCATGAGATTCATACATGGTACACAGACATACCTGTAGTTAAAATACCCATACACATGAATTTAAAACAACAACAATAAAAACCACATTAAGAAAAAACCCTCTCAAATCTAGGAACGTACTGTTTGTAAGTTAGAAAAATTCCAAATGAATTATTTAGGGAAGAGACAAGCAAAATAGAGAGTGTGTCCAATCTGAGGGTTCAGAGATATACAACTGTTTGTGAAAGGGAGTCACTTTGGGAGGTGCGATGTGTCTAATCTCCCCTGTCACGTGGTCCCATCCCAACAAGTCACTAAGGAGCAACATCATATAAAATAGAATTAAAACTAAATGGGATATCAGAGCACAGACAAAATCCAAATGACATCCTGTTGTTGGCCACAAAGTACAAGAGGACAAAGCTTTCACATCATTTGTAGAAAATAGAGGAATTTCTTAAGTGCTTCAAAATAAACATCCTATAGGGTAGCCTCAAGGTAGTCCTGCAGTTAGGGACAACCAGCCCCTGTCTCTATGGCAGGTAAAGTGACACTTACTGTTATGGACATTCTCTTGACCAAGCATGAGTGGCTTGGGGGGTGGTATTTTTTCTGTGTCACAGGAGGTGGATTTGGGATACATGGTAAGTGCTTTCAATTTGATAGAGCTGTTCTAGCAGCTAGAAGATGTATAAAACAGGACCTTCAGGCCCCAGCCTCCTTCTCTGGGAAACTGTTTCCTTTGGCAGATGTCCTGCCCATCAGGAATGTTTGCAGGTTAGTCATGTTTAAGGGGTGGAGTTCAGAAACCTAATCCATCACTTCCTCTTCCAATGTGTTGGCTTAGAAATGTGTTGGCCATTTTCTGCCATAATTTGTTAGTCTCATAGGACACTTGATTTCTCTCACCTTTGCTGTCATGGAATTGAAGTCAATTTTCTCTCTCGGCCAACAGTCAGGCCCCTCATGCTAGCAAACAGACCACCATGCAGTCTGGGCTGGAAGGTGGAATAGTTACAAGGGACTCAAATCACTGGTGATGCTGGCTTTCCCAGTACAGAGTGACAACTGAGAGACTATAATCTTCAAACTTTTGACAATGTGACAAGTTGTTGTCACCTACAAATGTGATGTGTCACACTTACAGTCATCCTGGGATGTGGATGGACCATGCTGCATGTTGGATGTGTCTTTCCTAGTGTCTGTCTCATTATGAAAGTTAGAAAAGGACTGTGTAATTCCAAGTGACATTTAACATTGTCCCAAATCCATATGGAATCCAAAGATTCATCCCACTTTCATCCACAGTAAAAACAAAACAAAAAACTAATTAATAAGAATTTAATCCATTAGAAACAGGGCTCTGACCTTATTTGTTTTGTTTGATTACATATTTTAAATGCCTGGTTACTTAAAATGTGTCTAGCAATGACTTATATTGAAGGAATGACTTATATATACTTTTCACATGTTTTAGAATTTTTTTGAGACAGGGTCTCAAGTGTTTTAGGCTAGCCTTGAACTCATTATATATTCTGTTGACTGTCTTGAATTTCTGATCATACTACTTCTGCTTCCAAAGGGCTAGGAATTCAGGTGTGTGCCACATACCTGGCCACACTGGGGATGGTATCCAGGCTTCAGGAATGCTAGGCAGGTGCTCTGCCAATTGTGATACATCCCCAGTCTCTTATAGGGATGCTTGTATTCAAGTTCTGAGCTCTTTGGATACAGGGATTACACACTTATATCCAGTACTCTTATGACACCACATTTAATGGAGAACTCAATAGCAATGTGGGAAACTGAATTCAGTGGGGAATCACCCAGGATGGGAGATGTGGGTGTTAGGAGGAGGTGTGATAAGCAAAGTTCCCATACCCCCCATTCTGTTTTGTTTCCTCTCCACACTGTTATGTGTCTGCCACTAAGACATCCATATTCACCTGTGACCAAACTGACTTTCCTCTTCATCAACATGTGTGCTTAAGTCTTCTATTTCTCAGGTAGATGTGTGGCTGGCAAGCTCCTGGGACATTTGTTCTGTCCATGAGGATGCAAAGCTGCCCAAGGTCTACCCTTCCAGTCCTG